TAAATCAAACGGTTGCCTCCTTTCTTCTTATGCAAATATAATTAGTAAAAAGAGGACGAAAGATACACCATCAGTTGCTATTTTTCTCAATTCATAGCAAGATAGTGTATAGAAAATGTTTGATATATCAAATATATTTGACAATAAATTTTAGATTACTAGATTATATATTGGACACAGTTTATGTAGAAACTATGCGAGCAGGTTATATCTGAACTTGGTAGGGTTATACGGCCGTGTAACATTTTCTATACACTAGCCTGTTATGAATTGACAATTTTATCACTATATACTGTAATACAGAGTATCTATAAAACATCTCGTTCTTTATCGGTGCGTTCACAACAGATGTCGCTTATTTCGTTTAGAAAAAAACAAAATTAAAAACACATCTCGACATTGTTGTAAAAATCTAAAACTACATCTTTAGTTCTGACTCAGTATTGTCTGTCTTACAGTCAATAACTTTGCCTTGAACTTCACTTAAAATTTTAGATTTATTACCCCGTAAAGCTGTCCCATTGTCTATGGTTCGTATGTGGGAATAGAACGGGATACCGTGTATTGGACAATACATTAAATCTGTCGTACAAACATACTTACAGACGACCAGTTGATTTTAATGTATACATATTGCATACAAAAGTATTGGCCAATATTAACGACTGTAGTTCCGATGTGTTGTATAACGGAATCTGTTCCTAAGATTTTTTTTATACCACTGAGATGGCAATCAAGCATACGGCCTTCCTGATGGTAAGTGGTTTTTTTTATGTGTGAAAATGGTATGGTAACCCCGCCTGCGCTAACGGGATACGCTGGCGGAGCACCAGTGAAGGGTGATAGATGAGAATGAAAACAGACCAGTTAGCCTATCATGATGAATTCATCAGGAATTAACCATGATAGTTTCCAGGGGAATCCGCGAGGATGTCGACCTGGTTGGGTATATTGCTAGCAATGGGATACTCAGTACAATCCCTTTCCCTCCGATGGTAAGCGGTTACCGTAGCCTATGAACGCCTGCAATACCAGGGGTATTGCGCGCGCATTGCCGACCCTAAAGAAACCTCTTTACCCCCCTTTTGACATGCTGTAGTCTCTTGGAAAAATCTCTGTTGCTAAAACTAGTTTATTTATTTATTTTTTAACTTAAAACCAACAGGGAGAAATGTTTTTTTGTAACGTTATTTTGAAAAATAAGAATGATACACAATTCTTATGGTTTGAAGTCAGCGACCAAACCCAGCTTTGCACGAGTAGACATACATAGAACATATAAAAAAAAAGTTTCAGCCAATTCAGTGATGTGGTTATTTTATAGCATTTTATATGTGATTCTTTAAATTGATATAACATTTTTATTTTTATCTTTTTAATTGGTGATAATGGAATGGTAACCCCACCCGCGCTATCGGTATACATCGGTGGGACACCAGTAAAGGATGATAGGTGAGGATGAAGCAGGTCAGTTAGCCCATCGTGACGAATTCAACAAGAATTGTTCACGATGGTTTCCAGGGGGAATTACGTGGAGGTCGACCTTTTAGCGCATATTGCTAGCAATGGGGCTGGCAAACTCCATTACTAACAATCCCTTTCCCCCCAACTTTATTTATGAACCGATTGAAATAAAACAAACACTAAATGTCAAGTGGAATAAACCGCAATACATTAGCGAAAACTACATTTAAATAGGTTAAGCTATTTCTGAGACAAGAGTGCACAAACAGACAAGAATTCTAATAATAAATGTTTCGGATTCTATTGCGTACATAAAGTCCTCCTATAATAGTCTTTCTTATATATCTTCCATGTACAGACAGCGACCAGTTACGATTTTATTATATGTATTAATATTAGATTACATAGATAGAGAATCGAGCCTAAAAAACGGGTCAACTGTTTGTCAGCTAATTGTCAAATTATCTGACTCGTTTGTTGTATCAGTGTTCTATATACTTACGCACACAATGTATCTTGACGTGTCTATATTTAATTATTTAATACATTAAAATGAGTGTTTACACATTAAACGATGCAGAAATTATAAGACAAAATAAATATAGAAGTTATAAAGGAATCACTCGTAACTATTTATCACGCAAAATTGTATGAAAAAGTTGAGCCGCTTTTCTCGAAGCATTTGTATAGAGACGCTCTATCCTATATAAGCTAAGGTATTAATCTATACTTATAATAAATCTGTAGAGAGGTCAATTCTGTACATGAAATATATTTCCAAAATAAATATCAGGCGGTGATTAGTGATCGATACTGATGCTAAAATAGCAATTAGTAAAATTTTTGTCCGTCTCTCTGTATGTTCGTTATAGAAACAAAAACTACTCGACAGATTTTAACGAAACTTGGTACAATTATTCTTCATACTCCTGGGCAGGTTATAGTATGATTTTCATCACGCTACGATCAATAGGAGCAGATCAGTGAAGGGAAATATGTCTGTTACATCAAAACCACTGAACCGCGAGGAAGGACATAGGCTCCTTATTTTACGAAAAACGACGGAAACGCGGACGAAATCGCGAGCAACAGCTAGTTGTCAAATATATTTGACATATCAAACATTTTCTATACACTAGCCTGCTATGAATTGAGAAAAATAGCAACTGATGGTGTATCTTTCGTCCTCTTTTTACTAATTATATTTGCATAAGAAGAAAGGAGGCAACAATATGATTTACAGTTTTTATTTTATCATTCCCTTTATGTAATTCCTTGTTTTTAGGTTTTGATCCGTTTTTGACACTTGATAGATACTCTTTATTGTTTCCTCCAGAAGATTACAATAGTAAACTTATTATAAATATAAACAATTACAAGAAATAATCACAGTGAGAAAACAATGGGCGACCTTATCGCTAAGAGCGATCTCTTCCAGGCAACCTTTGGATGAAGAGGAGTAATTATAAACAATTTGGTGGGAGGCACGATGAAAAATTATGTCATTCTATCTATATTTTCTAAGTGTGTAGGTATCTGTCATATCTTCCTACATATTCATTATAAAAAATTAAGTTCACAGAACCCGTTTAAATAACTGTCCCACAGACGGACGGAGAGATTTTTCGAGATATTAGAATCTTGATTGGTATGTACACGTCTGTTGGAAAATTCCATGTAGCAAGAATTTTTTTCTTTTTAATGATTGATAACGGAATCGTAGCTAAGCCTGCCCAACGGGGAAACTACTGGGTTTTTTATTATACAACTTAGAATGACAAACAAGCTAGCACCTGATGGAAAGTGGTAACCATCATAGACATGAGTAGTACCGTGGACATAACAGAGTATACTGTTTCGCCCATGATGCCCCCCATGCGTTGCCATTCCTGAGGACTCGGGTGTTATTCCTCTGTACCCTGTAATTTCACTGCCATATCCCACCCTTCAAATCGAAACACAGCCATGCAAAAACTACTTTACGGTTGAAACACGAATGGGACAGAGGTGGCCAAGCAAACGACTTTTGTACAAAGTCTCCCTCTGTTAAAACTTCCCTTCTGAGGAAGGCTTTTTTTAATGAGAGCACCAGTGAGGAATGATAGATGAGAATGAAAAAAAAACAGGTCAGTCAACTCATCGTAATAAATACACTTGGAATTCAGCACAATGGTTTCCAGAGGGGACCACGGATAGGTCGACCTGGTTGGGTATATTACTAGTAATCACTTCCTTCCAAAAAAAATGCGACACTGAGGAAGGCTTTCCTTAGTGTCGCATTTTTTTTTATATTTAAAATTTGGCGCCACTTATCCTTTTAATTTTTTAATAATACAAACGTAGAACAAGTAATGACTAAGTTATAAGAGATGGCACTGCACTATTATTAATAAAATTGAAATTAGAATCTGTGTAACTATCGAGACTAATTAAAACAATAAAATAATATTATTGTATAACCAATCTGGACACTGTCATGCTAACAGTATTAGTCCAAATTTCGGAAACAAAAATTTCGATTCTCCAGTAATAAAGTGACTTATGTTTCGACCCGAGTTTCACCGGATTTTTTTTTTGTTATTTTATTTAATTTCATATCTACGATCTTTTAAACCTAACAATTTTGATTTTAATATATTAAATTTTAATGGAACAATTGTATTAATTAATTAAAATTTCAATAGAACTCAACGAGAATGTAATCAATTTTTTATTAGAAAATATTATTTTATAGTTTTTAAATTGTTTTAATGGGTTGGTATTACGTCATCACAGAAGCACTCTCTAAATGTAATTAGAGGCGATCTCATTCCTAAAAACTAAATCAATTTTTTTTTTAATATATTGGCAATGACAAATCTATTTTAACTATTACATTGATTCTTCATTTTTTTTTATTGTGAATTTAACACAAAAGAAGGAGGCTACACAGTTCAATAGTAAAAATAGGTTTATAATATTTTTTTATAAATAAGGGAATACGTTAAATAATTGATGTTTTATTTGTCCTAGTGTTGGACATAAGCAAACAGTCTTATGGTCGGCTCCTTAGATTATGAAGTATAAAGCACGTTATACTAGTCTATGGTCGAATCGATTAATCGTTTGTTTATATTTTAATTAAGTCCTAAGAACAAGGAATTACATAAAGGGAATGATAAAATAAAAACTGTAAATCATATTGTCGCCTCCTTTCTTCTTATGCAAATATAATTAGTAAAAAGAGGACGAAAGATACACCACCAGTTGCTATTTTTTTCAATTCATAGCAGGCTAGTGTTTAGAAAATGTTTGATGTGTCAATTATTTGTCAATGACAAATGTTACATTACTAGATTATATATTGGACACAGTTTATGTAGAAAGTATGCAAGCGGGTTGTATCTGAATTTGGTAGGGTTATAAGGCCGTATAACATTTTCTGTACACTAGCCTGCTATGAATCGACAATTTTATCACTCCTCCTATGTAATTCCTTGTTCTTAGGTTAGAAGTCCTATTTTAACTGTCTACAAATAATAAAGCACTGTACTCACATGCGTCCCAGGTTGTAGTTGCCGATGAAGTGTTGTAATCGTTTGTAAACGGCCTTATATAGCACTCACCTTGGCAATGACCGTAAGTTAGGCAGAGAGCTCGGGGCATAAAAACACCGCTATGTCACGACGCGTTTAAGATTATTATCCCGTGGCTTTGTTCGCGTGAATCAATATAATGTATTAAGTTAGGATATCACTTACCCATGTATTTTTTGTTGAAATATATTTAATAGTTGTTGCGTGAAAGAGTAATAAACAACGATCCATCCATCCTTACAAGCTTTCGCATTTATGATATTAAGAAGGATTCGTTTCCAGAAAGAGTCGGGCGTCTTAAAAAGACGCATTAAAAACGTACTTTCAAAGATATCTTAAAAGTTAAGCAGCGTTAAAACATCACCGAAACCAAACTGTGGTTGCCAGCCCTCCTGCCAAGCGTGGCAGCTACTGGCAAAACCTCTCTTATGAGGGAAGCTATATTTAGCAGTAGACAGTAACGGCTGGTACTTCAAACTATTAGAATTTTAAAACGTGTACAAATAAATGTTGCCGGCTCTCTGACTATATCATTTGCATAATACATAATTTTTTTTGTAAACTTTCCTATTTAAAAAAAAAAAGCTTTTCATTCAACTTTTTCTAACGAAATATTATATTTACTAATTAATTAAAGCTATAATTTTGTTTCTGTCAAATTCTTCAAATTCTTTTGTAAAAAAGCCGGTTAAGCGCGAGTCGGACTCACGCAACGAGGATTCCGTACAAAATCATGGAGTTTATTTATTTTATGAAATTTGGCGTGAATTTACTGGGTACAGAGGAATAACACCCGAGTCCTCGGGAATGGCAACGCATGGGGGGTATCGTGGGCGAAACAGTATACTCTGTTATGTCCATGATACTGCTCATGTCTATAGGCGACGGTTACCACTTTCCATCAGGTGGGCCGTCAGCTTGTTTGCCATTCTTTCTTTCTTTACTTGTGCTACATAACATTACTTCTTGCCAAATTTCATGATTCTAGATCAACGGGAAGTACCCTATAGGTTTCGATTCCCTTTGCGAATGTCAAAATATGCGATGTAAATGTAACAAAAACGGCCGTATCTTTTGATCGCATCGATTTAGAAGCTTGATTTTTTCACTGCTTCAAGAGATTACAGACCTGAGCATATGATATTAATTTCAACTTAATACCTTCACGCGTTACTAAGAAAAAGGGTCTTGACAGACGAACGGATGGACGGACAACGAAGTGATCCTATAAGGGTTCCGTTTTACGTTTATAGGTACGGAACCCTAAAAAATAATAGATTGTTCCAAAAAAACTGTCTCCAATTCTGGTAAAACCAGTTATTTTAATTGAAAAACTAAATTACTGAACCGATTTTGATAAAATTTCTACGGGACCAATTTGGAAGTATATCCTTTCAGATGAAAAAGGAATTTTCCAAATCGGTTTACAACTGACGGAGTTAGTATAGGATAGTTAGTAATGGGGAGGATAGTCCCCATTGCTATCAATACACCCTATCAGGTCGAACTCCACGCGGTTCCTCCTGAAAACTATCGTGACTAATTTATCGTTGAATTCGTCACGATGGGCTAACTGACCTGCTTACATCCTCACCTATCATCCCTCACTGGTGCCCGCCGGTGTATACCGATAGCACGGGCGGGGTTACCATTCCATTATCATCCATTAAAACTGATGGAATTAGAAGGTAACAGACATGAAAACGAATAAAATACAACCGATTTTTTTATGCAATTTGCAAACAAGCTGACGGCCCACCTGATGGAAAGTGGTAACCGTCGCCTATAGACATGAGCAGTACCATACATATAACAGAGTATACTGTTTCGCCCATGATACCCCCATGCGTTGTCATTCCTGAGGACTCAGGTGTTATTCCTCCGTACCCAGTAAATTCACACCATATCCCACCCTTCAAACCGAAACACAGCCATGCAAACACAACTGCTTCACGGCAGAAACATGAATGGGACAGAGGTACCCAAGCAAACACTTGTACAAAGTCTCCCTCTGGTAAAGAGCCTCCATCTTTTTGAAGCCAGTTGATAATTTCGAAGACACTTTATAAAAATTATTTCAATATTTCCGTACATGTTACTCAATTAGCATTCCAAACGCTGCTGACAGACGGACAGACGGACAGAATTATTATTAGTAGCGTGCATCTTGCATAGATCTGTTAATTGCATCTTGAATGGGTCAGTTATGTACAGTTACCTGGAAAAATATTTGTTTAGGTTTAAAACATTATTTTGGTTACAACAGACAATTTGCATGAAAACAAGCTTTTTTTTACAACACAGGGGGCAAACGAGCATGCGGCTCACCTGATGGTAAGTGACTACCGCCGCCCATGGTCACCCACAACACCAGCGGCATTGCAGGTGTGCTGCCGGCCTTTTAAAAAGGAATATGCTCTTTTCTTGAAGGTTATGATGTCGTATCGGTTCGGTAATACTGCTGCTGGAAGTTGATTCCAAAGAGTGGTTGTGCGTGGGAGAGAGTGCCGTGAAAAACGCACGGTGGAGGACCGTCACTCGTCCAGATGATTTGGGATGAATCTTAAAAATACATAGTATTCTATTAAAAAAAAAACAATCATGAAAATCGGTTTTAATAGTTCGTTAAAATTAAGATTGTGGCGCACAAAAGAAAACCGACATCAATTCCAGTTAAACTACATGGTTACTTTGATTTAAAAACTAAACTACCAACTGGCCTAATTTTTTATTAATTTTTGTATTGGACCAATTTTTATGAGACTTCTCCGAATCGACTCACAACCGACGGAATTATGATATCATAAATATATACCCGTTTGCCAAGCGTGGCAACTACTGGCCAAAACCCCTCTCCTTATGGGGAGACCTATGTACAGTAGGGTTATACCCAAAAATTGTTTTTTTTTATACAACTTAGAATGGCAAACAAGCTGACGGCCCACCTGATGGAAAGTAGTAACCGTCGCCTATAGACATGAGCAATACCATGGATATAACAGAGTATACTGTTTCGCCCATGATACCCCCCATGCGTTACCATTCCTGAGGACTCAGGTGTTATTCCTCTGTACCCTGTAAATTCGTAAAGCATGGAAAGGTCGTAGTGTCACAGGTTTTCCTGGTTGAAAAAGCCCGTCTCTCAATAATAATAACAATGTACAGTAGTGGACAGTTAACGGCCGATATAATGATGATGATTATGAAGGTGATGATGATGATGATGATGATGAAATTTAAAGAAAAATAAACAATCGAATTGACAGATTCCTTCTTTTTTTAAAAAAAAAAAAAAAAAAACAGTCGCACAGCGTGTTCAGGAATTTGTTGTTTTATATATTTTGCTTTTTGTTTGTTTTTTTGTTGCTTTTTTTTTATTTTTTCATTCTTTTATCTTGTAAAGGTTGTCTGTAAGAGATCGCCCTAGCGATAGGACCGCCTTTTGTACCTTTATATGTATATATTTCAATCTGTATTTACGTTACTGTATTTCACTTGAATTATTCACTTGTCATTGTATATTTTTATTTATGGTGCAATAAAGAGTTAAATAAATAAATAAATAAATATCTCTTTTACTGTGTATTTATTATGTGTATGTTCGTATTGTTATTTGTGTGCTGTAAGTAATGTAAATAAATTATCTATCTATCTGTCTACGTCTCAAATGAGCGTACGCTACCTTTTTTTTAACTCCGACATCTCTCCAACTGTACATTAATACGTTATACAACTGACGAAATCAAATCAAACACGCAAGTGCAACGCCCTCTATCGACGAGTTTACACGCCAAAAGTGTTTATACAATTCGAGAAGGTCCAACGACACATCTAGTAGACGTGAAGTAGGGACTTGTTATTAGAGATGGCTCGAATGTAATGTAAACCGCGGTATATCCGTGTCAGTTTTTTTTTTAATGAATGATAATGGAATGGTAACTCCGCCTGCGCTAACGGTATACGCTGGCGGGGCACCAGTGAGGGGTGATAGGTGAGGATGAAGCAGGACAGTTAGCCCATCGTGACAAATTCACTAATGAATCAATAATGATAGTTTCTAGGGGGAACTGCGAGGAGGTCGACCTGATAGGGTATATTGCTAGCAATGGGGCTGAGAGTCTGCATTACTAATAATCACTTTCCCCCCGAGTAATATGGATACCGATCCGATATCTATGTATTGGGATATTTTTCTTTAATGAATGATAATGGAATGGTAACCCCGCCCACGCTATCGGTATACACCGGCGGGGCACCAGCGAGGGGTGATAGGTGAGGATGAAGCAGGTCAGTAAGCCCACCGTGACGAATCTAACAATAAATCAATCACGATGGTTTCCAGGGGGAACCGCGTGGAGGGCGACCTGATACAATATATTGCTAGCAATGGGGCTACTAATCCCCATTACTAACAATCCCTTCTCCGCCTTATTTTGGGATATTGGACATTGATGGCGGTAAAAAGGTTATCACCCATTTCAGTATCGCCCATATCGGACAAATATCTATTTTCGAATTTAAATATGTTATAAAATATTATTTTGGACTAAGAATAGGCCCGTGACTTTGTCCGCGTGGTATTTATTATTTCTGTTTAGTATGTATCGATGTATGTACCTACCTATTCATTATGTCCGGGAATACTGGACCAAAATTAAAAAATGACGTGTCGTTCTCTCTCTTTGCCTCAGGTCGAAATGACTTTACTGAAGTAGGTCGTGTACTAAGCTGTATAAGTTACTATAGTTTTTTAACTATCCCACGGGAACTCTTTAATTTTCCGTGATTAACAGTATCTAAACTGTTGACCGGGGATGTAAGGTAGCACCATGCAAAATTTCATTTAAATCGGTCCAACAGTTTCGGAAATTAGCCTATACATTTGTCTATTTAGACAAACAAACAAACAAACAGAAAAACAAAAAGTTCGAATAAAATCTGGATATTTCCTATTTCACATCTAACATCCCCGTGACTCGGT